CAACAGCTCCACGGACACAAATAAACGCTTCCACCCCGCGATCCGCAGGCGAGGATTAGCTCGATTGATGGTCGATTCGAGTCCTCTTGCCAAAACCACCGCTTTTCTTCTTCTCCTTTTTCTAATCCCGGCTTTGGCCAAGTTGCAAACCAACGTCAAACCCATGAGGAAAAAGTGCAAATGGTCAAAAAGGCCGCATTTTCCCCCCCTCGGCTATTGTGTGCCGCTCTTGCTGAGTGCTTCTGCGAAGTTGCTTATTTACGTGCCACCGAGGAGGTTTCGCTCCTTGCACACACACACACACACACACACACACCTTCAAGGTTACGAGTTCGTGCCCGGCCCTGGGGCACCTTTAGAAGCGTGCAAATGATGCCGCGTGTGCAAACGGTGCTGCTGCATGCGGTGTGCTGTGTGCAAGAGGTGCTGCGTGTGCATGCGGGTGTGCAAAACCCCGGGTAGCACAAGGACAATCCCTGGACACTTTCCTTCTGCAGTTGCAGCTCTTACAGCGGATCCCCCCCCCACCCCCCCCCAACACCGCCTCCCCTTCTCCCTCCCCAGCCAAAAAATGGAAATGATTTGCTTTGTATGGGAGCCGACATAAGTGAACATTATTATCCTGCAAGAAGCCAATTAGGAGCCGCTCCCCTCCACCCCCCCCCCCCCCCCCCCCCCCCCCCCCCCCCCCCCCCCCCCCCCCCCCCCCCCCCCCCCCCCCCCTCTCCAAACCCCCCTCGCTCGCCTCCTTCCCTCTCTGCAATATTTCACAACAAAGTAAGCCGGAGCTGAGCCCAATATGTTGGGGATGAAAATGCGGGGAGCGATAGGAAACAGGTTGGGTTGTGTATCACGTGCAAAAGGCCTTCGTAATTAATCGGGGTGTCATTAAGGTGGGCACCGTGGGGGCTTCCCGAAGCTATGGGGGGGGACGGCCGTTGTGATGGACACCCGAAAAGAGACGGAGTTTTTCTGTTGGAGGACCCTCCGCGCGTGCTGGCACAATTAAAAAGTAAAGAATAATTATATATATACATAAAAATAAATAAGACAAAAGAGGAGCGGCGTAGGGAGGGGATCTTGTAAAACTTTTACGCCAAACAAAGTTATAAAAACTTTTTTTTTTTTTTTTTTCATTTGGTGCGTTAAGATATCAAAAGGTTTATGGCAATCATAAAGAGTGCGAGCCGCGCGTGTTAAACCCGCCTCGAAATGCATTAAATACGGAGTTAAATATGGGGCGTCATAAACGGATGGGATGGGATTTGCTGATTATTTTCTTTTTCGGGGGGAAATGTGGGTCCCCCCCTCCCTCCCCCCCCCCCCCCCCCCCGCGTCCCCGGGGGCGGAGCCGCGACCCACTCCGATTCCGCTTTATTACAAAAGGGTTAAAGGTGATGGACTTGACTTTATTGAAGTTCAAAGACATCATATATTCACATTTTTCTTCCTGTGGGTTTCTCTCTCCCACCTCTACGTCCCCGACGGGATTCGGGAAACCCCTCTCTATAGCGACTTTTGGCCTTTGCCTCTTCCCTACCATCCGGCCCCAAAAAACCTCCATACATCCCCTCCTCATATGGATGCTGGGGAGACGCACATCTGTCCCATCCCAGCTCTGCCTACGGGCTCCCCATTTCTCCCCACAGCCCCCCCAGCTTGTGCGCTTCCCCCCCCCACCCCTCGCCCTCCCGCAGCCCTTCCACCTCCCCCCCCCTCCCTTTCCCCACGACATTAACAGCCCTTTTCCTACATGGCACTGGTGCTTAATGCTGCTGTAAACTCCCACATGGTCTATAAACTTGGGTTTTACAACTGGCATTCCATTTTAGCTCGCGAAAACTTTGAACTAGGCCTACAGTTTCATTGTGCTGCAGTTGAACTGGGGCCTTTGTGGGGGGGTC